GGGGAAGAGTTCAAGGGAAAGCTCACTCTGCCATGATGCTGACGTCACCCCTAGGAATCGAATTTTACTTTTTAATACGTTTTACAATGTGTTTCTTATAAGTGGTGTGTTTAGTTCACTTATTTTTAATGTGGTTATTGCTATAGTTATGTTTAAATCTGCCATTGTGGTTCCATCTGTGCTTTGCTCCTCTCTTCCTTCTTGCCACCTCTTGTTTATTAGTAGTACCATTTTATTTCCATACTACCTTTTTAGCTGTACTTTTTTCTATTATTTTTTTATATATAAACTACAATAGGAATCTTTACTTATAATAGTCTATACTCCAACCTTATTATACTACTTCACACAAAATGTAAATGCCTTCAAATAAATACACTTCTATTTTCCCCTTTTCTTTTTTATGAGTTTGTTTTCACATATTATATTTCTACATATATTATATATCTTTTTATACTTTATAATTATGTATGCTTCAAATATATATAAAACAGAGAGAGAAATGGAGAGAGAGACTTTAAGGTTCTATTATATTTACCCATTCATATCCCTTTTTGGAACTTTTAACTCTTTCTTTTGGATCTCACCTTTTATATGGTATAATTTACCTTTATCCTAAAGGACATCTTTAGCATTTCTTGTAATCCATGATTGGTAGAGACAAATTATCTCAGTTTTTAACTGTGTGAAAATGTCTTTATTTTGTATTTTTCTTTAATAATTGAAGGATACTTTTGCTTGATATAAAATCCTATAAAGAATGTAGGAGTCTAAGTTGATAAGTGTGTGTTTGTTGGCCTTTCAGTATGGTATATCATTCCATTTTTTTCTGACTCCATTTACTCTGATGTGCAGTTAGCCATTATCCATAGCATTGTTCTCCTTTATGTAACGTGTCTCTTTTTTTCTGGCTGTACTCAGATATTTTTCTTTATCATTGGTTTATAGGAATTTGTAGTTTCATGAGGCTGTTTTTAATATTGCTTAGGGTTCTTGAAATTTTTGGATCTGTGGGTTAGTATTTTATATCAATTTTGGAAAATTTTCCTCAATATTTCTCCCTCTGTCTCATTTCCTTTCACTTCTCTTTCTGGGACTCCATTTATACTTTTGTTAGACATTTGGTATTGACCCATAGATCTCAGATACTCTGTTTAGGCTTTTTATTCTTCATTTCTCTTTGTGTTATAAATTGGACAATGTCTATTTACCTGTCTTCAAGGTCTCAGATACCTTCTTTTCTTGTATTCAGACTGTTTTTAAGCCTAACAAAATAAACCCCTCATTTCTGATATTGTACTTTTCCATTCTAACGTTACCATTTGTTCTTTTTTATAGTTTCAGTTTCTCTATTTTCAATATTTTCTCCATCTGCTCACTCATATTGCCCATATTTCCCACAAGATCTTATAACATATTTATCATAGTTATTTTAAAACCTGTGTGTGTTAATTCCAACATTTGGACCATGTGACTGATGACTCATATCAGTAACTGATATTTTCCTCTTCCCTATGGGTTACATTTTTCTGCTTCCTCATATGTCTTGTAGTTTTTATTGTATGCTGGGAATTGTTGTAAAAAATCAGTAAACACTGAAATAAGCAATGCCCAGAAAATGACATGACTCTTACTCTGTCGGGCTGTTGATATGGATGGATAAATTGATCTAATTTGTAACTGGCAAGTATCTGGGATTTTGTACAGCTTGTATTAGATTTAGTTCACCCCTAGCTTCAAACATTTTAAAGGAAGAATCATATCTTTCCCTTCAGCATAACTTCATATTCTGGTACAGGTAAAATTCTAGAGAACTCTCTCTGTTATACAGCCCCACTGCCAAATTTATCAACTACAGGAGATATCTCCCTGATTTTCAGCCTACTACTATTTCTGTTTTTTTTGTTTTGGGGGGATTTTTGTGTTTTTTACTACTAGGGAATTAACCTACCTCTCTGCTCTTGACTATGGCTGACCGTGCCTTGAGAGATCTCTTCATCTTACCACCCCACATCCAGACTTTAGCATGTCAAGGCATTGTACCCAGCCAAGGTCCATTCTACCTCAGCATATCTCTCTCTGCTCACTTGTCCAATAACCAGCCCTTGGTGGGCTTCCTTCACACAGTAAGGCTCCATGCACCTTAATGATGTCTTATACAGGTAAAGAGCATATGCACCTTAGTGTGGCTCTCTCTCAGCTTTTCCTTCCTGTCTCCAGCCTTTGGCATACTGTCCCCATGCACTTGGTGAAGTTCTTAAGGTAAATAATTGATAGATGGTGTAAACTCATTTTGTGAGTTGGGCACCATGTAACTCTACTCTGTCATACCAGCCCACATGTGACCATAAAATTATGTTTAATCTGGGGTGTTCTCCTTATTCATGTCTAAAATTGTTCTCTCCTCCTTCTGCAATGCTCCTAAAGATGAGAGCAGCCACAGGTATCATCTCCTCTAAGAATAGCTCCTCCCTTATGAATGTTATTATTCTTTTTAGCTTTCTTTATGCCCTCATCTATCTGATGATTAAAAATTGCTGGTATTTATTCTTTTGATAAGAGGGATGACAGTCTCTTGCAACTAACTGGAAGCAGAAGATCCTTGAATTATTTTTTAAATATACTGTTGACCACTGTCTTGTGTAAGATCTTTACATCTTTATTCATAATTGGAATGGAGTGTTTTGTAACTGTGGTGAAGCATGTGCGTTTATGAGTGTGTGATTTTTGAGATTTGATATCAGGCTTATTTTAGCATCATACAATGGACACCATCCTGGTGTCCAGAGACTGCAGAGAATATACAAAAACTGGCAGCATCAAACGGTGTGAATAGATTTGAAATCCCTCCAGTAACAACAATGTACAGTTAACACCCAGATTGTAGCATGTCAATTTGCAGCTTGTGTCTCTAGGTGAACGCCTAAGATAATTGTTTCCTTTACCAGGTTTCCAAGTCATACCTAGATGCTATAATGATCTTGCATATTTATCTTAACCTCTTTAATGTATTATCTGTATCCAAACTGTCTAAGATCACCTTTCCACTCTTTTTCTTCAAGAAATGAATCTTTCATCTATTTTTCTAGTTCATGGCAGCAGCCGATAATACCACATAATGCCTACATTTATGCAGAAGCATCTAACTGTGATATCGTTGGTAAAACAAACTCCTATAGTAAGCTCAATAAAGTATCTCTGAAGTGGGATTTTATGAATTGCTTATTTTGCATTTTGCAGATATTGCTATTTTGGGAGAAGTACAAGTAAAAAGGGCTGGAGACACACACAGGCTTGTTGAGATTGAACAAGTTCTCTCTTCACTTAATGAGATGAGAAAGACAATAGGGGGCATGGCTCTCTGGAGACAGCAAATCTGCACAATTGCAAGGGTTCACTTATTAAAGTTAAAGCATGAAAGAAAAGCTCTTTTATCACTGTGAGTATCAGAGTGCCATAGATATTTTTCAGTCAATGCGTTAAAAAACAAACCCAAGGTGTAAAAAAAGAGAAAACAAACAGAAAATAAAAATAAATTTCTGCATCTACAAAACTGAATAAAGTATAATACCCAGTCTAGTCAATCGTCCTAGAGGTTATCTATTAGCAGACTAGCAGGTGGAATTTATAACGTTTCGAGCCAATGTTAGGGGAAAAGTTGAAGTAAAGTAAGTTCTCCTGTAATATTCACTCTCTTTCAAATCTTCCACTCTGGTAGGTGACAGAAACATTGGGATGTGGATCTTTTTGCCCAGTATCCATGTGCCAATGCCCTGTTTTAGATGCTATATAGTTATGCTACTGACTCTTCCCTGGATGTCCTGACTGTCTCATGTATCCTACTTGCTCTTATCTAGATGTCATGACTCCCTCCATGTCTCTTAAGTGATGGTAGCTCACTCTTCACACCTACTGTGTGCATGGTGGGCACTATCCTTGCTCCTAAAAACCATATCTCCTCTCATTAGCACCCTAATGTCCATGGTACATTGGCTATCAATCAATGCTTTGTCTATGAATACTTTGATTAAGCATCAAGGAGATAGGAGGCTTGGCACATAATAGAATCTCAATAAATACTTGCTAAATAAATAAGTAATGAGAATTCATGGAGAATCATCGATAAGGAGATAACCATGATTTAAGAAAAATCTTTAATATTAATCTGGCAACTCTGTATAACAACTATTTGTATAACAACTCTGTATAACAGCATCTGTAGAGATGCCAGTTATTGAGCAAGAATTCAGACAAGATATAATCTTGTAAAATTAGAAATTAGGAATGCAGAAAGGTTTTGAAGTAAGATATAATGAAAGTATAATAAAAATTTCCAACTTTGAAATTAAGAATACAGGAAGATCAACAGTAAAAAATAATTGAAAATTTGAGCCTGGAGACTAAAGAAATCATGCAATCACTAACAGAAATAGGGACTGTGTGAAGATGACTGGACGTGAAGAAAATTGAGTATAAAGTGTTGATGAATTAACCAGCAGAAAGGGAGAGCATCCCACCGGAATCCCAGGAGAGAGGCAGAATCTGAACAGAGAGTTAAAGGACATGTATCCCATGAAATTGTGTGGGATATCCAATGGCCAGAGAGCAGCAAGAGAAATGAACAAAGGATAAATCTACATTGTGTCATCTCTGTGGAAGAGGACAAAATACTCAAGAAATGAGCCAGAGAGCTATATGTTTAATTTTCATCATTTCTTGATCTCGGTAAATGATAATCTGCTCAGACAGTTTTAGAAGGTTAGGAAATGACTGTGCATTTACATTGGCTTGCATTCATATTAGCAATTTTCTTCTGTGTAGGCTATTGATTCTAGGAGTTGGATTTTGCCCTCTTCTTTTGGAGTATACCATGGTGAAAATAAATCAAAACTGTTACATGTGGGAACTTTCTCCTCATTTATACTTCCTTGCTCCTGGACAACAACGACGTGATCCTCTCTCTCAATTATTAATCATCAATAAAACAGGTAATAATGTGGTGAATACTCCATTTCCAAATACATTCCCTATTCGGAGCATTACTTAAAAAACATAATCATGAGAGAGAAAAATGAGCTTTTGACTTCAGTGTGTGTTAAAAACAATTTATGAGGTTTGGAGACAATGAATATAACCCCCAAACAGAGCAGGAGTTAGGAAAGAATTTGCCAAGGAGAAAGAAATGATCTGGCGGCAGTTTGCAAAATGAGTTTGTATCAAAAAACATTTTTACAGCTTGAGACATAATTCACTTGTCACACAATTTATTCATTTAAAGTGTATAATTCAATGGTTTTTAGTATATTCACAGAATTGTGTAACCCTCACCACAATTCAATTTATAATATTTTTATCTCAACAAGAAACCCCATACTCATTAGTAGTCACTTCCACTCAATCTGCCCCCAGCTCTGGGCAAACATAAATTTACTGTCTGTCTATGGATTTGCTACTCTGGACATTCGCATAAGTAGAATCATACAATATTTGATCTTTGTGACTGACTTCTTTCACTTAGCATGATGTTTTTAAGGTTCATCTATGGTGTAGCATGTATCAATATTTCATTTTTTTAATTGTCGAATATTCTACTGTATGGATATACCACATTTTATTTATTATTCATCAGAAGATAGATATTTTGTTTTTTCCCAATAATTGGCTGTTATGAATAATGCTGCTATAAATGTCCATGTGCAAGTTTTTGTGTGAACATGTGTTTTTCATTTCTTTGGGTTATAAACCTAGGAGTAGAATTGTTGGGTCATATGGTGACTAACCGTGTGAGGAACTGACAAACTCTTTTTTAAAGTGACTGCACCAATTTACTTTTACACAAGGAATTTGTGAGGGTTCTAATTCCTACACTCTTTACCAACACTTGTTATTTTTCTGTCTCTTTTATCATACCCATCCTAGTGTGTGTCAGGTAGTATCTTGTGGTTTAATTTGCATTTTGCTAATGGCTAATGATGTTGAGCATCTTTTCATATGCTTGCTGACCAGTTGTATATCTATCTTCTTTGGAGAAGCGTCCTTTTTCCCCCCCCCATTTAAAAAGTGTGTTGTATGTGTTTTTTATTGAGTTCTAAGTGTTCTTTATACATTCTGGATACATGTCTCTTATCAGATACAATAGATTCTCATTATTCACAGATTATGTATCTGCAAACTTGTCTACTCAGTAAAATATATTTGTAACCCCAAAACCAATACTCATGGCATTTTCATGCTCATTCATAGACATGTTCAGAAAAGTGAAAATTTTGCCACCTGATGCACACATTTCCAGCTGAGGTAGAACAAGGCGATACTCTGCCTTCTTGTTTCATCACTCACACTGTAAACAAATATCCTTTCTGTAGTCTATTTAGTGCCACATTTTTCTGCTTTTTATTGGTGATTTTGCTGTTTAAAATGGCCCCCAACTAGGTTGATCTCCATAATATATCAAGAACTCACACAACTGAACAACAAAAAAACAAACAACTCGATCAAAAAATGGGCAGAGGAAATGAATAGACACTTCTCCAAAGAAGATATACAGAT